ATTATTGCAATAAATATGTTTCGAAACCAACGAGTTTGGCTATGGTCAGCTTGGTGATTCAGCGTATGAGAAAAATATATATTTGAAACAAGTAATATCTTACTTGAATAGTAAGTGAAATTTAAATCTCTCTCTTTTTTTATTCTTTCAGTAAATTCAAGGTCGCGGCTACAGTTTATCTCGGGAATAAAAGCAAACTTCAAACACCTATATTGTCCAAAAACCATAACTTTAAGAAAATAATTTAAGAGCTTTCTTAAAATGAGGTATTGTTGTGAAAGGGAACTGACCTAAAACCCGTTAAACAGGAATTTTGCCATATTTACTTGGCGTCAACTATATATTTACTTTGGTTCCAGCGACGATTCTTTGGTCTGTGGTGTAACTACCACTATAAATATTAAATACCAATTCACTAGTATATAAGACATGTTAACTCCACCACTTTTCGTTTCAATCGGACAACTCCTTCTTGGTGCGTCGATTTTTTATTTATAGAGAGTATTTTGAAGAAAAATATTATATCATTTTAAAAACCTCCAATTTGGTGAGATTTTCCCTTCAAAATAAAAATCATTCAAATTAGTGAATAATTTATATCTTTTATTATTTTAAAATATTCAGAGTCGTAGAAACTTTTCAAAAGTATAAAAAAATAAATGCTGACGATTTTCATTTTTACAAAACTGTATCGTTTTTGGTAGTTATAATTTAATTAGAAAGCACTACCCATAGAGAGTATCAGCTAAAAAAAGATAAATATTAACCAGTCATGAATAATTGTTACAAACTCCTAACAGGTAAATTAGTTTACCTATTATTTATGTTTTACTTCATATGTTTAACTATAATTGATTTTTTCTTACCTAGGTTTAACCATTATTTGCTTTTCTTTCAAAATTTTAACTATTCCCTAATTATTCATTCATAAGTTGCAAGACAATTTTTTTTGAAAAAAAAGTTCCCTTGAACTGATTTTGATGGGAAATCATAGAAGTACTTGAATACAGTAATATTTCTTGATCTAATATCATAATATTTATCGTATTAATAAATTAATATTTATCGTACTTATTTAGATTTCACTACTTTTGCAATGCAATAATTATCCAATGGTGCATTATGGAAACACATTTATTGCAGATATTTGATAATTATTTTAATTATGGATGAGAAAAAGAACTCAAGCATCGTGACAATATAATAATCAGTGATTTCTAACGATTAAAGGAATGTAGAGTTATTAAAAATGTAAATATGAGGTTTTATGGTAACAGAACATTCACTCGAAAATTGTTAGAATAAAATAAAGTGAAGAATTAAATACCTTTTAACTAGACACCCGGAACGTGTAAGTATTTTCACAAATCAAGCTATATTGAGGAAACAGTTTTTTTTTATTTGTAAAAACACATTTATTTGACACAACAATCACACACCAACAAAGTTGTAAATTGAAATACACGTAAGGGGTTAGTCTAAACCTTAAATACAAATAAAAAAACTATTCTCAACTTTCCAAACTAATCATCAAATTTCAAAACTTGTCTTATTCTTTTTTTTTTTTATCTCATTAGATATTTTATTCAAATTCATGCTTGGAACAGCTAGATATTTTTTTGATATTTTTCAGACTATAGATTAGCGAAACTTACTGGCATAACAAATGATGGTTCTTCGGTGGAAAATCTGAATGTTGGTGTGGTTAAAAAAGTTGTAATGGCGGGTGAGTTGGAGATAATTTTTATACACAATGGGAGTTTTTATTCAAAAATTACTCTAAAATAACCAACAACAGTCTGTTAATCCAATTAACAGAAAAGTGTTCGGTAAAGAACATTTTTTTTCTCCTTTGTTGTTGTGGAACCATTTATAACTACAAAATATGGCAAACAACGTTAAAGAGTACAAAAATATTTATAAAATACAGACAGCTGTTTCGGATGCTCAAAGGGTAACCTTCATCAGTGCAACAGGACTCACTGATGAAGGTTGCCCTTTGGGCATCCGAAACAGCTGTCTGTATTTTATAAATATTTTTGTGCTCTTTAACGTTGTTTGTCTTAGTTTGTATTTTAGCACAAAGGTCGCCCACTTGTGTATCTATTTATAACTGGTATTCTAAAAAACCCTGAATATAATATCATATGGGTTTTTATCCATTTACAATTAAAAATCGAAGAAAAGAAATTTAACGTCACATTGGAGCTAAGCATTTCTTTTACCGGATTGCACTGAAGTTAGGTTGTGGCTGAGTTGAGCATTATCAAATAAACACTGTAATGTAGTTTAATTTGTTTATCTGGTTGTTTCACCTGTCGTAAGAGATGGGAAATACTTGACTTTTTTCTGTTAAGCAGCTTTATGATGCTGCCATCTGTACCAAAATGAGAATATCGTATTCTTATAATGAAGGGTCACAATTTGGGGAGTGCAGAACACTGACTACTCTTCATGTGTTGAAGGAATGGAGGAAATATTGAAGTGTCTACGCTGGGACACGATCTCCTGTTCTGTCTGTCATTCGATTGACAGATTAGCCCTTTCGGCAATAATGTGTACCCAGCTGCAAGGTAATATGTGCCTTCATTATCTAGACCTAGTTGGTGCGATAAATTTCTGGTTGTTTAACCATATTAGGTGAAAGCAAATAACAAACGGTTTTTCTCACAGTTAACGGTTTGCTATCTTCTTATTTATGGTTATTTAACTATTTTGTTTAAATATGGTGAAATAATAATTAAATAAATTGTTATTTAACCATCTTTTCAGAAAAAATTCTAACAGTGTAGATATTTTTTACATTAGGGACGTTATTTTGCAACTTTAAGATATGTTCGTTTAAAATTAAAATTAATTAGGATAAAATACGGTTATTTCTTAAATTAATACCTTCTAACTCTAATCGATTAAAAAGTTTCATTTAAGGGAAGTTTACTATCATAAGGCTAGTTTATCCGTTCGGCCAACTCTAATTTTGTTTCTTCTTTTCAGCGTTTGTTGCTTACAGACACTCTCCCTTTACTGATTAGAATACCTTATAAAGTTAGAAAATCGCTATATTGACCGTGAGTTGGTGCCCTTTCAAAAGAGGTTCTTGTGCAAATTTTGTACTATATCTTCTATTTAAAGAAAAAGATATAATCAACCATGTAAAAGCAAAGAGAATTCAATGGCTAGGACACCTGGCCGAGAATGGAGGAAAACAGAGGCACTAAGAAGATATTCAAGGGGCAGTGCCAGGGCCAAAGGAAAAGAGGAATACAGGTCAAAAGATGGTTTGACGACTTTGAAAAAGACCTTTCTAAAAGTCCGAAACTGGAAACAAAGAGCTAGAGACAGGCGACTTTGGAGGAAAATTGTTAGTGAGGCCATGGTCCAACATGGACTGTAATGCCAGGGAGTTAGTCAGTTAGTTAGTTCTAAATCTTCAAAGGAAAATAAATTGTGAATATTAAAACGTTAATGTTTTAAATGTTACTGATAATATTTAAGGCTGAACTTATTCAGTTTTATTTAGCCCTATTAAAACTGATTGCTAACTTTGTTACAAAATTTAAGAGCGTATTACATACTGATTTCTAGTAGCTCGCCCCAATTACTATGAATGAGCAGGTCACCCAAATATAAAAACATTATTCATACTAAATTTACGAGTTGCACAGTAAGAAATGGTGCTGAATCTGATTTACAAAACGAGAATGTCAGGAGTTATTATCTAATTTATATTATTATTTAATTTAAATTATTATCTAAATTAGATAATCAAGTTTATTCCTTCTAGATCAATGTATCAATACGCGTAACCTCATCAAACAAACTACACAATCTGCGCTAATCAAAAATCTCAAAGCAATGAAAATCATCGAAACAATTATATAATCATGCTCTCGCCCAAAGTCAATCAGGCTCATGTTTTTTTGTTTATTTTATTTTTTTTAAACATTTTACTGACTTGTAAGAACTTAAAACTTTGTCAGGAAATTAAATAATGACCTGATTAATGAAGGCTACCAGTTTATTTTCATTCAATCATTGAACCGACAGTACTCATTCTTATTTTCCCATTATTTAATTAACAATTTATAATTATAAAATTCATACCTAGGTATGTGTAGTATGGAAGTTAAAAATTTCATTAACATAAACAAAATTAGAAAGGTGCTACATTTGACGTAAAATTCAATTGCCGAAAATGAATGACCCAACAATAGTAACTTTCTCCAACAACAAAAATTTGATTCAGTGTAATAAATATACATTAAAATTACACGATGGCACTGTTGCTAAGGCAACGAGCTATGGCTATGAAGGATCGAGTTTGCACTCTCGACGGAAGCCTGAAATCTCACCCTATCGTGTTAATCGATTGTTGGCAGCTAATCTGAAAAATTAAGATAGCCGGTGGTCAATGCTGATCTCCTTCTCTCATCATGCTTGTCGCATACAATATGAGACAACCAGATTCTTTAAAAGTTTGTTAGAAAGAAATATTCAACTATTTTACTTTACAAAATGATTTTTAAGAGTAAAAATCATTAGAACTGCATATTCTAACAACCACTACTTTTTATTTACAAGAATTTAAAAACTTTTTCCATCGAGAGTTGTTGTTTTTTTACACATATCATAGAATTATATTTAGAATCATAACAGTTGATGCAAAAGGCTGTTAGTCTCCAAATTATGGAACAGGCTGATAGCAGGCTGTTGAGGAAATACTTTACCTTTTGAATTAATATTGTTTTTAATATGTTTTTATTTAGTTTATAGGATAATTTATGACAGTTCAGCTCTATGGGAGAGTAATTAGGACATAATACTCGAAAACATATGAAAAAGTTAATTTGACACAAATAAGATAAAATAAATAATCAATAATATACTTTCCCAAAAATAAAAGAAAAAAATATTAATTCAATGAAATGCACAATTAAATTAATAAAACATGAAGTAAATATATTTTAAAAATAAAAAAAAGCATCAAAAGGTATAGTTACTCTGTAGGACGTGTCATGGCAGCCACTGTTCTTGTACTGCTCCATAGTTCTCTGATGACACATATATAACAGAGCATCATGAAGAAAGCTGGAACAATAAACATAGCCACTAACTGATAGATAGCAACCATAAATGCCATGCTGTCAGTAGAATCGAAACAGTAATACGCAGTGATACTGGTTTGATTGTTAAAGTATGTTATTGGATAGATTCTCTGAAAAATTGAAATAAAATCACATGTTGCCATTTAAATATTTATAGACAGAAAATAATAGGTAGACTATATTTGAGGGTGCCCCTTGATTCTCGCCAAGCTGGGCGATGTTTAAATCCTATCGTGATTCTGATAAGTTTAGATTTTAGCGTTATTTTTAAATGTTCAACAATATATATAATGTTAGAGGTCCATTAGTTCCACGTTGGATACCGGCTTGTAAGGTTACTTTTGCTTCTAGTTAAGTAAGATCGAAGGTATGTGGGCAGTCATAAAAAGGGACTGTAGAAAAAAATGCCACAGACAGTCCGGTACCACAGACGCATATTTTCGATTCGTATTTCGCCGAATTTATGTGGCGATGGAAGTACACAGATTCTATTCATGACAAATTTAGACAGTATCTAACTGCAATTAGAGAATTCTGTGCACCTAAATCAGGGGATATTCAAGCTTAATGAAGCTAAGCTTACTCCATTAATTTTTGTTTCAATTCAAAATGCATTTTATTGGGCTTATTAATTATGCTTATATTGGGTTCATTGCAATTTTATAAAGTTTTGGTCGATATTTTGTTGAAATTTTGCAATGTTTTAATGAAATATCATTATGTTTTGGCCTCCATTCCTGTTAACACGGTGTTCCGCGCAAACAGGAATTGAGCCAAACCTAAGTCACCAATTTCGCTAAGGGGCACCCTCAAGTATATTTTTAGCAAAACAGTATATTTTACAATAAGAAGAGTGCGCGATTTTTCTGACAGGATGAGTCAGTAAAGCAAGCTTATTGGATAATCAACAAACTTTCTTTAACGTCAGCATCAGACATTTGCTTCAACTTTTAAAATGTAAACTATAATTTAACTGTGAATTTTACGAACAATCTAGTTCATAGTTTCTACGTGACATGGTAGTATTTCGTTTAATAATATTTATTTCATCAATGTTTCAAATAATTTAAAATTACTGCAAAGGACATCTAAATCAAGAAAATTTTAACAATAATAATATTCTGAACAATATAATTTATGATTTAAAATTTTTTGGCAACATTTCTTAATGGATAAAACTCTAGTACATGCCTGGTTTAGCCCAGAATGCGCGTACACCAAACAGATTCATAATTTGACAATGCTTAATATGAGTTTTCATTTCAATGAACAGTTACTATTGGCACAACGTTAGAAAATATTAAGAAATTTTGTTTTGTTATTAAAACATTTATTTTTTTCGTTTAAAAAAAGGAGTAGAAATGAATCTCTTTTATGAAGGAAACTGACTAAACTATTACGGTTTTTAAAATACGGCAACAGTTTTCGAACTACAACTAACGATTCGGTATGCAATCTGCTGGCACCACGTTACAGAACTTGCCAAGTGATGACTTGTTATGATGTATTTCTATTAGTAAAAGTTAGACAGAGTGAAATAATAAACATTTTTCAAGATTTTTTTATTTTATTTTATAACCGTCGTTGAACAGCCGACCCAATTTCATGGGTTTACGACTACTTACGTTCAACTCCGTAGCCTTGTAATTTTGAACCAATCCAGAAGACAAGGAAACTCCTGGATCAGTACCCCCAGAGGTATTGATTTGTTGTGGGAACATGGAGGACTTTGAGACTCGACAGATTTAACGTGCATCAGTCACCATTTACTACACGGGGAGTCTTCGGTCGGGGACGGACGGGGAAAGTTGACGGACGGGGAAAGATGTTCACTATATGCTTGATAAATTTTACTTAATTTTCATGAATAAATGGATGATGGATATTAATTCCATTCTACAGTATCTAACAAACATATAAAATACAAAGTTATCTCTTCATCAAAATAGTAGAGATATTGCGGGAGTTGTTCCAGATTTCCGAAATAGTTAATATTTTAAAACTAGCAATTTTAACTAGTCTATATGTCTAACTAGCAATTATAAATATGTCTGCTGAAAAGTTCAACCAATATTTAGCAGCATCTAAATCCTGCTTTTGTGTGTTCATCATTCTTTAAAAATATATTCTAGAAACGCACATAGGTAAGGAAACAAAAACTACCATACCAAAATCCTTAGCCGTATAATTCTATTGTCTTAAATTTTTAAGAAGAAAATGAATTTAACTCAAGTGCTATCAAGTTTTATTTATTCTAAACATTTGTGCGAAGCTTATACACCGAAGAGCCATTACATTATGACCACCCTCCATCTATAACAATGGGCTCGCCCAGGTTTTCATGGTTTCTCGCCCAGGAACAATGTTTGCATGGGGCACATTAGGACCCATAATCCTCCTTAGAACAATCCCTGACGTTTGTAAGCTACTTGAACATAGTTGCAGACCAGGTTCACCCATTCATGGCAACAGGTTTTCTTGCGGGGGATGGTGTTTACCAACAGGATAGTGCACCATGTCATAAGTTTCGAATCGTCATGGATGTGTCGAGGAACATTCCAGTGACTTTCAAGTCATGTCTTGGCCCCAAATTCACCTGACCTTAATCCAAGAGAGCATTTGTGGTCCCACTTGGAAAACCAAATTCGTGCGGCCACGCTACCCCCTAGCAATGTGAGGGAATTGCAGGACCAGTTGATGAGCTCTTGGTGCCAGATACCTCAGACTACCTATCAGCACCTTGAGGAATCAGTGCCCCTCGGGTGCTAGCAGTTTTGAGGGTTAAAGGGGGTCCTACATGTTATTAGCAGGGTGGTCATAATGTAATGGCCCTTCGGTGTATATCTCACTTTTCAGTTAAAGTATATTGCAGTAAAAATTATTTTCAAGAGTTTAAAAACAAAACACACTCCGAAACCAAAACCAAAGAATTATTGCCACACGATTTAAAATCTGTGGTTTTGCCCGGTTTGAAAACCTTAAGTCTGTACCTTGCACCTAGAAAACTTAAATGTTGAATGAATTAAGAGGATCAACGCGAGGTGAAATTTAAATATTGTTATCTAGACAAGTGAGGTATATTTTTTGATGTAAAAGTTTCCAGTGAATCAAATATAACCAAATTAAAATCATTCGGAATAATAGTTTTAAAATTATAGGGGCTTTTATGCATAAAAATAATATAATATTTAATTTATTCGCCTATATTTGTTGGATAATAGTTGGATAGATAATTGACCAACCTACTAGATAACTGAGGTAATGTTTTCTGCGTGTATTTTTGTTCTCATTCAAATGAAATAAAACCAAGATGATAGTATTAACAGTTTAGAAGTTATATAAAAATTATAGTCTTTGATGAGTAGGGGAGAGGGGGGCACATGTGAACAAATTTTTTTATTTCTTCATTTTTCAAAAAATATCATAAATTTCTCACAGTAAAGAAGTCCATGTGTTTGAATAGTTTTTTCCTTCTCTAATAGAATTTTTTTAGATTTTTTAATAAAATATTTCTTCACTTTATGATATTTTAGAAAAATTACTTCAATTGTTCACATGTGCCCCTGTAGGGGGGGGGGGGCACATGTGAACATGCCTGGGGCACATATGAACAAGATTAAAAACACAAAACAATCATCATATTTAAAAGAAAAAATATTTATTATAACAGATATAGAAACACATTATACTAAAAGGGTTGTAGCTTACTACGTGAATTTATTGGGTTTATTTGTTTATGTGAATTTATTGGGTTAATTTCGTCAATTGGGTTTTTCGCAACTTCATGTTCCTCAGGAGTTGTAATAGGTCTATTTCTTTCTTCTCTGATACTCTTTCAAGCTTTTTTTTTTCATTTTTTCTATCTTTTCATTTTTAGCTTCAGCAATTCTATCTTTATCAGGTGTATCAGTCAATATGCGTGATTTTTCCTTTTCGCGTTTTCGTTTTTTTAAGTTACTTACTTGGGCTCTTGGAAATGGTGGGATTGATTCTGGTATAAGACAAGTATTGATGGCACCACTGTTAAGATCATTGTCAACATTTTCTGCCTGACCATTAATAAATTTTTAATTTACTAATGATCATTAGTAATCATAAATTTTTAAAAGAAAAAATTGAAAATTAATTAATTATTTATGGAAAATTAAATACTAATAATTTTAAATGTCTACATATTTTTTAATATCATGAGGATAATAATTTCAATACTATGTAGGGGCACATGTAAACTGTTCGCATCTGCCCCAGATGTTTTGTTCACAAGTGCCCCATCATCTTTCTTAAACCTAGCTTGAAAAATAAAGAATTTTTAATCAAATAAAAATAAATAATACTTGTCATAAACTTACCTGAATGTTCATATAATGGTCTGCAATAGTTAATTTTATCTTATTAGTTGATTTATACTATGTTTTCACTTGAAGAAGCGAGTGATAAAAGTATATACAACACCTGCTGATTCAAAGAAATTGTCAGAATAGAACAACAAAATGGTTCATTGTTCTGAAAGTTTGGCAGAGAGGTAGGACTGGAACTGTTATCCATTGACAATTTTTCAAGATTTTTTTATTTAAAATCATATTGGTAAAACATACCATGTTCACATGTGCTGCCCCCTGTTCACAAGTTCCCCCTGTTCACAAGTGCCCCCTCTCCCCTACCTATTTTCACGTCTGTTGTTGCTATATCTAGGCTAGTTAGGTATTGTTTCTTTAGTAATATTTTCCGGTTCATATAACTAAAAGTAAGCTTACGTTGAATAACAAACCACTTTCAATATTGTAGAATGTTTCGGCGTGGAAAGGTATTAATCAAATATTATTTTAATACGCAAAGCTTCTTAGGTTTTGACTTTGTTTCAGTTTAATGAAAAGTAAAAAAAATGTTTATACCACAATATCTCTGTCATGATACCAAAAGCAAGCAAGTAAATGCATAATCATAAAAAGTTGCTTTTTTTTATACAAAAATTTTTTTTTTTGTTCCTTATAACTTTTGAACTATTATTCTAATTTACTTGATGTAGGTCTTTTTGAGTTAATACAAGATAAGAAAACAAAATTAATGCAAGAAATAATACAAGAATAATACAAGATTAATACAAGAAAAC